ACGGCACCTTCGAACCAATCAGAGTGATGGTTGTGAAGATTGACAGCCCTTAAAGGCCGACGTACCGCCTTAGTTCCATGCAGGGAAATTGATCCTCTTAGCCTCATACTCTCGAAAACTGCGAGGGGTGCCATGTTGGGGCATGTTGCATAAGGTAGACTGGATACGGGAAAGGAGGTAGCGATAACAAGTAGAAAGCGCGAAGTGCACGTCGGCGTTTAACAAAAACACGGGGGCGAGTGCGTAACCGAAGCAGATGAAGAAGAGGGGAAGGAGGAACTGCCTTCTTAAAGGGTAACTGCAAAGAAAAAAAAGTTTTTTTTTAAACAGCCTAATTGGGACAAGCAGGTCACCAAACAAATGTTCCGCGAAAAAAATGATGTTTTTTATCAATATTTACGCCACAGGACGTAATTTAGTAGCGTCAAAACCTCTCCATATTTGAAACTCCCGCTCTTTCGACCCCCGCGGAAGAGGATACGCCCCGCCCCTCACTCTCCTTGCGTTGCGGAGTTGAACCAACACCTCCTAGAGAAGAAGGCCAGAGCGCTCTGAGCGGTTACGTCACAATGGCGGAGGAAGGAAGTCCATGGCGCAACTACGTGAGAATACGCTATCGACGTGAAAACAATGTCCCTCGACAAGCGGCGCGGTGGTGTTCGTTCATGCGCGTTTATCCGACATTAATATACGTTTTAAAGGCGCAGTCTTGTACAATTTATTATATATATAATATAAACGTATTATATAACGCGCTACCAAGGTTGAGAGTACCAAAATTATATTTATGAGTATTCCCGTAACCGCGGGACTACGTGCAGTTCCGCAGCACCCCACATTTTTCGAAAGGACCGGCTGAACCGGCTGCGATGCTGCTGATCCCACATGGCTCCGATTCTGGTAAATTTACGTTGTGTGTGAGCTGCTGACTGTCTGAAAAGGAACGCTGAGACATCTCAGAAGGGAAGCAAACCGAAAAGAAATCCAGTCGTTGTCGCAGGGAGCGCACACCAGCAAGAGATGGGTCGACAACGTTAAGCCTTTCGTCGCCGCTGCTCTCGTGTGTGGTACTTTCGAGACTTGTTTCCCGTCGTATTTCTGTCATCACCGTAGTCTCGGGTAGTTTTTTTTTTTTTTTTTTTTTTTTTTTTTGTGTTCGCTTGATACTACGGCATTTACGTGCATTCGTGAAACAAGTCCTGCTACGGTTTGAGTGACGTGTGACAACTAGCCAACGAAGGCTCTGGTCGACTAATCGATAGACCTCTCTCTCGACAAAGAGAGGCTTCTTGGAGTTCGTGTTCAAATGTGTTCGTCACGGATATTGTGGGACGTATGGATACGATCGACAGGTGAGAAACAACTTATTTACGGGCTTTCTTGTTCATGTAGGACGCAAGTAAGATGCTGCAATCGTTTTTTTTAATCGCTTGATAAATTGCAATTTTGTTCCTTGTCATTATTCGTATGCAGTTGCGTCGACATTTGTAAATATGCGCGCTAATCTAGTTTTCACTGGAAGATGAAAATCAAGTTTGTGTGATTATTGAAAGTGAGTTGTTTGTGGTTCTGTGTTTATTTATACTGAAGTTATTTTATTGCCTTTTCCGCGTTTATACTAGAATCTTAACAGTATTAAGGTGATAGTATTATTATATACAAAATAAGTTATGTTTTGTTCTAAGGCAGCTCGAGCCCATAAGGAGAAGTAAATTAGTAGACTGAGTAGTAGGTTTAGTACCCCTGCCACAGGGAAACGTTAATATATTTTCATTCGGTGATATAGGATTTAATCAGCTCGCGGTCTTGAGTGATTATACGAGCGCCGCAAGCGGATTTGTAGACCCTATAATGTCATTCGATCGAAATCACATTAATTTTGCCATGTGGCCGGGGTATGATGCAAGAATTCAGTGACTGCACGCGATAACGTCGCTTACATGATCGTGAGAAACGCTTGTCTTGCCTTGTCGGCGTTGACTATGTCTACCTGATTTTTAACTGGTCTGTTTTGCTGTTTCAAAATAACTGCGTGTCTCGCCATTTTGTCAAAGTATTTCTGTATAAAATATGCATTCCTACAACAATAATTGCATGACTCAAGGTTTTCGACTTAAAACAATCACATTTTTCGATAGACGTCTTGTACGCGTACCTCGTGCCATTTCGTACCGATATTTAGCGGTGTAATATTTTGCTCGTGTAATAAAATGTTTTCTAGACCCGTTGCTATCTGCAGCTTTCATTTTAGCTAATATGACACGCGTATGTGACTAAAAACGCTTTACGACGGTCGATCTACGCGCGTTCCATTCGCTTCGACGCGCGCCCCCGATGGCCTTCCTTTGCGACGTCACGAGAAGAGCACTACGGCCTTGTCTTCTAGGAGGTGTTGGTTGAACTGGTTGAACGACGCAGCGTCTCGACTTCCGGCAAGATCTGGCAACTACGCCAGGCCGCGGTATTTTTGGTCGTGTAGTTGGTATTGTTTTGGTTTGACGCGGTTTGCGAGCACATGTAGCGAAGACGTGACCGGAGAAGTGCCCCTGTGATGTTCCCGGAAGACGAAAAGTATCGTTCGTAATCGTCGTGCGCGCTTTGAAAGCGAAGGAAGTCACAGAATTCACGAGTGCGCAACCACAAGCCAAGGTTCACGACAGCGCTGCGTTGGTTTCGGCGATCTCGTTCTGTTTGGTGCTACACGGCGATGCGACAAAGAGCTGAAACGTTCGTGGTGTGTGTAATGCGGTGCCAACACGGAGCGCAAATTGGTTGTTGTGGGGTTGACGTTCAACCAGTTAAGTCCCGTCGTCGTCAGCTGATCCAGTCAAACTGGTCCGGGAGGACGCTGGGAGCGTTTTTAAAAGTAAATCTGCCTCGTTCTGTTTCAAAATGTGGAAGTTTCCCGACGCATACCGTGAGTAAAAAGCTGCGGGTGTTTTCAACAAAATTACGTCGTTTTAATTGAACAATGGACTCCGAATTGTTGTCCTAACTCTGCCGTTTTTATGCTTCGTGTTGGACTGCGTTTGCACTGCGACGTGTTGCATCGTGCGGTGTGAATAAATTTGGGCACGATTTCGTACCTGCCTACAGATGCATGAACTGAGACCATTTTTACGTAGTGGACATAGTGCTTTTTTATTTTCTGTCTAGTCGCGGTCGTTAGATGCACACGGGGCGAATCTCGACGGCCTCCAGAGCGATATGACGAGAACGTAACTAGACACGTTGGTCGCTACGCGAACGCCCGATTGCCTCCAGCCAAATAGTATTCCTTTCGGGGCGACATGGCTGCTGGAAGGCTCACTGTCGGGATCACGCATCTGACATCTCCGAAAAGTCAGCATTTGCACGCGCAAACAAGCAAAACAAAAAACAAAAAAATACGCTAAGCAAGCAAAGAGGAAAACGAAAGAACCGCGCTATGAAAGCCAAAACCCCGCGTCGCTTCCTATCACTAACACCTGCGACAGCTGCTAAACACACACTACTTCACTTCAAGAAGTCTCACTCAAGCACCTGGGTCAGCACGAAACGACGAAACACTGATCACTTCGGCGAAACGATTAGTCGAGGTAGGCGAGACAGACGGGAGCAGAGACTTCGGCGGCCATGAAAGAATGGCGAAGCTTTTGTTTGTATGAATCCAAACGGAAGTGCCCGTCTTGTAAACCTTTTGTAAAGAATAATAACTCTCATCACATGGGTTATTCTTTAAACGTAAAAATATGCGGCTCAAAAGGAAATTGCAACATATAAGAAAGGTTTAACAACCAAGATCTAAGCTGTCAATCAAACTCTTAGCCAATGAGAACCTTTTGGGATTGACGTCACATAATCACAACTTCGTGGCGCGCGATTTAAAACGGACGAAATAGCCGCAAACTAAAATGAGTCTCACGCAATAAATATTGCTGTAAAAAATGAATTTTCTCGCGGAAAAATTGTTTTTTGACATGCTTGTCCCAATTAGGCTATTTAAAAAAATCTTTTTTTTCTTTGCAGTTACCCTTTAAGTCGAACCCTCTTGTGTGTCCCAGACGTCACTGTGGTCGCCCGCGGAGATCAGCCCGTTACTCAAAATTTGTTCAAAAGCGGCTTTTTTCTCTCTCCTGCTCATGGCCTTGACAGCACTGCGCGCAACTAAAGACTAGCAACTTGTATAGTCACGTGTCGGGCTTCACGCGCTGATTGGTTCACTCGGACCTTAGCCTACACCGTTTGTCAACGTGCGGTGAGACGATGTATAGTTGCAGATTTTTCGAACGCCTGGAGGCTACGATGGCGGAAGGTGTTTCTTCATAGAATAAATCTACATGTTATCGCCTACACGGGATTTTCAGTTTTAGGTGTTTATTGGCAGAGGCGATGCATAAAACATCTATTTTTCTGCACTAGTGCCTACCTGTCATTATCAATCAAATGTAAATCATTCGGAGAGGCCTTTTTTACTTGCGAGTCTCCAACTTAGCATCAAATTACGTTCAAATTAGGTAGCACTGAACTTATTTTATTAAAAATCACACACGATACCAGCAGCGTAAGACGTTTCATTGCAGTACTGAGAATTTACATTTTTGTCCAGATTAAACAAATGTTGATTGTGCACGAAACTAGGCACTGTTTGGAACACTCCTTTTTAGTTGGAACAAAACTTTGGTGCCAAGAGTGCCCCTGTTTTCGTGGACGTACCAATGGATATAAGCCTTCGAGACACCGACGATTACCAGCGAATTTAGAGCACGACCTCAGTAAACTGAACATGCCACATAACTTATGGTTTATCGTACACACATAGTACGTGTCTACGTTGCAATATAAATAAAAGCAACGCCAAATAAATCTGTCGAAATACGCCTCTTATGCAGCTTGTTTTATTCTAGATTCCTGTGTTAGGCTACTTCGATTGATCTGTATTTTCTTCCGCCAAAAAGCAAACTGTACTGCTTTTCTTACCACTTAAAGTAGCGGAAAACAAGACAATGTCACATTAACCTTCATGAAGATTTAATGTCCTTACCTCCCAGGGCTGCGGGACTCCTGAGAATGTAACATTGCGGCTCGCTGTATACCACATACATGTCTATATACTGAGGATCTTCCTGAGAACGGAAGAGGCTGTCGAGGATACTTTCGGTTGAATGAGATTCTGCTGTACGCGACTGAGGCTTCGCAGCAACACCTGCGTGGGAAAATAATTTTTGCAATGAAACTGGTAAATACCACAAAAACAAAAATGCTCCACGTTTGTCGAGCATGAAACCTTAACTTACCCCTATCAGGAAATGGAGTACCTATGGAATAGCAGGTGGAGTTATCACACTCCACGTACGTGTAGCTTCCTGGGGGAACTGGAGTAGCACTCGGGAGTGTTCCTGGTTTTCGGGTACAAAAACATTGTATCGCACTTTCAAAATAGTTTAGACGGTTACGCAGCTAAAATCTTCAAGACTGCACACTAATACTGACCTGGCAGTGAAGCAAATCCGCAAAGTAACTAATTACAACTATGTACGTTACTGTAATTGGTAACATCTTTCTAAACTAAATAAGCTAGAATAAATTGTTCGTAACTATAGCGATAACTTCGTTATAACTTGTAACTTGGCATAGTTACATTTAATTTCCGAATTTTCACTTTTGAGCAACATCGCCGAACACTTTAAATCCGGAGAAGCACCTGTTGGTGAGAATGCTTGACTTATTACTAGATTCATTTTATTTGACCATCGAATTTTGTTAATATTTAGTGATAAATAAAAAGCCTGACTTGACTGAAAATGACAATACAATATTATTGCGGAGCCTCGTGGTCATTACTTTTAAAATTGAAGCAATCGGTTGCCACTTTCAGAAATTTGACTCATGCGACGATTGTCTGAAACAGGCTAAGATATAACCACAGTGCAGTAAGTACAGTAAGTACGAAGATGTTGAACAAGACCCGCTAAAGCTTCTTCGCTGCAGGTGTTCTCCAGTGCAGAACAAAATGACAGAACATATTTAGATTCAAATAGAGCGAATCTGAACAAGTTGTAATTCAAGGGTGCCAGCGAGCTGCTTAAGAGCTGCCATGTTTAACCCTAGAGAGTTGGGAAACAGAAAAACAGGACAACACGAATCTCCAAACACAGCTAAAGTTTATTTTACGAAACACAACCTTCAATTCACAAACAAGAGACAGGAAACCAAGCAGACCAAAGGAAGACATGAAGGATAGCGATGACGTCAGGCGTAACTAACCGGAATACACGTATCCAAAGAGGGCACACATCAGCCTCCAAACCAGATTCCGCAACAAAGAGACGATAGACTGCACCGTGCGACGGACAGAAACTGAGGACATAGTCAAAGTGAATAACCCAATGATCACGAAGCAAGAGAAGGAATGAGGACAACCAACTACCACTGAAACCAGAATGAAACGGCTGTAATTAAGGGATGCTTTCATGCAGTTGTCTAGAGAAACGAACATGTCGCTAAAACAACAAGCGTGCCCATGAATCATCAACGACTATTTCACTGAACGTTTGTAACAGTCCCTTTCCCTGTGGAGCACTTCAGTATTTTTCCAAACAACGACGCAATTGCTTCGGAAGATAGATGATTCGCTAATTGTGAACCTTCGGTTTTGTTTTTTACCGTTCGTTTGTGTTAAATTGAGTTGTGATTAAAAAACGTAGCCTTCTGACCCACGTAGCAAGAACCATACTTCACGGGAGTATTTTACATTACACCCAGATCGCAATCCGCCGTAGGGTCCCTGATTTTTGTTACAACCTGCCTTCTGTGACGAAAAAAGTGCAAGCCGGTCGAGCCGAAAATCTGGTTTAAAAACATCTGTGGCACAAAACGTCCGCGCTGGTGCTTTAGGTTATGGGAGACATGCAAATAAGACAAGCAACCCTGCTTTTCTCTGCTAGGACGCATTTCGGCAAGTTAGAATTTGTCAGCAAACGATGGATGACCGAAGACACGAACTTCCTGCTGTAGTCAGTGAAGAACTATATTGTCACGAATGGCGAGGTGACGAAACAAAGGATAACTGAGGAAACTTATATGTTTAATGGGGCGGAATTGTGCCCAAAACAAAAAGGAAACTCAAGATAACAACAGAGCGCCGCGGGCGTCGAAGTCGGCGTGACAGCAGGATCGAACGCATGTGACGAGACTGACTGCGGCTTGCCACTCAGAGCTCCTTTTGTACGCGCGTGGGCTTCGGGAACAATCACCGTAGAAGGTTCGTCGCGTAGAACATTCTAACCTCGAATCATCAACATGGCTTCCAAATTTACCAGAACACCGCATTACAGTGTCAACACACATGTGTACCCGCGGCCAGGCATCGAAACATGGCTTTTTGCGTGGAAGGCAAGCCCGATAACCGCTAGGCCACGAGTGACTTTCTTTTGGCCGGTCTAGATATCTATATTACAAAAGGATCACACTGATAAATTCACTTTATGAATATCATTTATGCGCTATCGTAAAATATAAAATTCTTTCAAGGTCTCAAGCACGTCGAAATTGACACCCAATCAGGCGCACAAACCAAATTGGCGTATAGAGATTATAGTGTGCAGATATATTCTATGAAATACATACGTACGGGCCGGGCATCCTAGGCCACGAGCGCGCTGCCTACTTGGTCAGCTACTCGCGCGGCAATGTACGAAGCTGCTTTTTCAAACCGGCGCCCAAACGGTGAGGACAAGGAAACCTGAATGGGTTTGTTAGCACCAGACTTGACAACTCCCCGCCTTACTGAATGACAACCTAATCTAAAGTGTAATGGCTCCCCCTCCGTTTCCCCACTCTCCAGGGTTATGGTCCCCTCTGAGCAGACAGGTTTTTGAGAACTAAACGGCGCGTCGGCCATCACAGCACTTTTGGCCGTACATCATGGGGTTGCTTACAAGAAACCGCAATGTAAAAAGGAGCCTCCGGTAAGCCTAAGCAGAGCGGCAACCGACGTTCTATTAGGGGCCTAGATTGTTCAGGGTCTCTTGGTTTCACATATGGTACCTGAAACGAGTCTCTGACTGGTCTCTCTAGCGTCCTTTCTAGCCCATACATATGAAGTGGTGCCGAAGTGGACACAAATAACGTTACAGAAGCCGGAGTGTCTTGCTGTCAGATGTCGCGATCCTGGTGGTTGATCGTAGAAAAGCTGGCAAAAAGCACGAGCGAACGCGAGCACCACTGTCGTCGCGGCGTCCCAACTTCTGGCTACCGAAGCTTCCATTGGCTGCCACATTGGAGGGCGATCTGCAATAGAACAGGCGACTGTCACGTCCGCCACCGCTGCTGGGACATTTCCAGGATCGGGGCCGGCGAAAGCATGACACTTGTATGAGGTTATCAGGCGGAAATCGAGGGACCACTTTTTTGGACGTGGTAAACACACCATTCTGAGACGTGTTCCAAACACCGTTGTTTCACTGGATATCCGAGTGAAACGGTGACTGCTGCTCTGCTTAGGCCTACCGGAGGCTCCATTTCAACTTTGTGCTAGCTTCGGACAAAAGTGCGCTTCGGGTGTAACTGCGATGTAATTTGGTTAACAATAGTGAATTTACGGGTAGTTGGTTGTTGACCGACATGATAAAAGAGTAGCAGAAAAAAGGCGAGACACAGATGAAGCAAAGCACAAGACGATGTGGCGTTTTCGAGGTGACGATCTCAGGTGCGAAAACAGGATTCGGGGATGTGGCTCACTGAACGCGTAGCCCCGAAGAAACAGACCTGGAATGGGATTTCTGAATTATAACTTTTATGTACAGACTAAATATACAGATGGCATGGTCGACTGGTTAATCGGCATCTTCGGGCTTTCTGAGGCCATGTAATATAGTCCTCCGAGGTCGGGAAGGCCCGCTGAGTGAGAGGAGCCTTCCCCGGAGTTCAAGTGTTCACGTAATGTTCGAATTGCGGGGGTGGCTGATGCTATTGCCCTGTGTTCTTTCAACGAGGTACAAATGAAGCATGCCGTAGCCGCTCTTTTCATGTTGCGGTGTCTGATTCAAGGTGTCGACGCTTTGCCGTTCGAACTAAAACACAACACCGACATACCCACACATACACACACAGACAAACACACGCACACCGGCGTTTCTCCTTGCAAGGGCTGGCGTTCACGATCCTCTCGTGGCTTCCGGAAGACTTTCTTTTTGTGTTTAAAGCCCTCAGAGAGGGCCACACCGGCCCGGTGTCTCAAGGGCTGGTTTCGGGGATCTGAGCGTGATTCTGCCTAGCGTCGTTGGCCCACGCCAAGCCGAACGCGGTAAGGAGCTTTGCTGCCGTTGACGACAAGTGAAGGCCAACTCCAGGACTTAGCCAGGAAGGTAGTCGCAACAACGAGCGCTAACTTGCAACTAAAAGGCTCACTGAAAAATTGCCCCGTGCAAACGTATGGCACGGATGTCACAGCTAGCTTGAAGAGTAAAAACTACCCAGCGTCCATGCAAAAACCGACAAACTTTCGTAATTAAAGGCGGAAATAGAAATAATGTCATGATTAATGCACGTGCACTGCAGATTAAACAGCATCATGACATAACGGGAAGGGTGCATAAAGTTCATGAAAAATAACCCGGTATATAGAAACATTTTTGGTTACCCTACGCAACCAAAATACACAAAGGGCTAAACCCCACCGATAAAATTGTACTTTTTTATCAAATGAAAAGATGCGATTTAATACACGAGCCTTGTTCACAATGGTGTATCAGAGCCGCTACTAGCATCTACTTTTCTACACCCGGTCAAATACACGTCGTTGAAAAGAGGTCAACATCCACAACTTTGCCATGAATTTGCAGCTCTGAACCAAAATCATTGGTAAGTGAGGCCGCGTGTTCTCGCAATCTGTCATTAAGAAAGCATTCGATTTGAGCTATATACACCCTGCCACACCTGAAATGGATTTTATAAACTGCTTCAGTCGCACAGGGCAATGTTACTGGTTGGGACCCAAAACAGGGCTTTCGATTGGTCCTGCCCGGTGACGTGGTATTGTGTTATTTTCAGCAGTGCCCTTTTGACAGAATCTTACACTTCAAATCAGGCTGGTACTCTGCTGCCCTCCTTCGGCGTCGTTTGCCTCTTTGTTCTCGGCAGTTTATCTGTCGTGGCTTGCGTGGTAGCAGAGATAGTGTGCTCACAAAAAACGAAAGCTGGTATTTATTGCCAAAGAGATAATGAAGTCTCAAAGAGGGAGGTGTTACCTATGCTCCAGGTGAATTTTGCAGGCTTGGCATTTATAGAAAATAGAAAAACCTAAGGTTGAAACATCATATGCATTTCTGTTCTAATTTACTTTTTGGCAGAAAATTTTGTGCGAGAAAATGTATTTTTTAACGTTGAAATGTTTTTGTTATTTTGATGTGTAATTGTATTGTCTATAGAATTGCCTTTTCTCGATATCTAGCTTAACTTGCCGTATGGGCATTCGACATCACATTAATAGACAACATTTGCGGATCGCAATTATAATATTTCTTTAAAACTTTTTTTAATGAAGTCACTTTTTTTAGAAACTTAGGAAACGCAGGATACTATAGAATTGGTCTATAAGGCTGAGGCTTTGAATTTATTCATTTCTAATGGGGGGCATAAATCGCCCTAGAAATTGGAATCACCTTGGATGAGGGGTTAAAAAGTTTACACTCCCAAGCCGTATCCCCCCTCCCCTTCCGAGTGTTACGTACCTTTCAAGTTTGCCCGTATAACGTTTTCAAGCGGGTAGTCAGTTTGACTTAGAGCTCTCACTTGTATTGTGGCATTCTCGCTGAAATGTAAAGAAAAAATATTTACGAGAAAATTAAATTTCAAAATGTATGTAGGGTCAGCGCCTCGTTTTAACGCACGAATTTCGGTCGCAGCCGGACTAGAACATTGGTTCTCTCCCTGTTCTAACGTCCCTCTCTTTCTCAGCCAGTGTTTCTTTGCAATACGAGCTAGATGACTAGGCCTGTATCTTTCCCGACATACGTCATCACCAGTGGCCCCACGCAATGCCGCTTGCCTCGAGTGAGCATCACCTCCAGCGCCGCTTGCAGTATCTCACAACGAGCGCACCCTAGCACGCGATGACGGCCTAAGATGGATCCATCTGGCGCCCTGCGGCGAGAGCGTCAGCGTATTTGCCGCCTAGGGAGGCTCGGGGGTCCACAGTGACGTAGTGCGCCGGCGTTGTCTTCTTGTTCCACGTGGTATTGCTCTTTCGGCACGTCGAGCAAGCGCATACATATACTCAGCGCATTGCCGCTTCTCTTAGGCTATCTCCTCCTCGTGCAGCCTGCTCCTTCCTCTTGAGAGGCGTTGTGAAGACTACGGCGCACTGAGTGGGCGCCTCCTAGCGCAACCCGCGGATGTGTGCGATAAGGAGACGAAGACAAGAGGTGTACCTCGCTCTCCTGCTCATGTTCACGTCCTTCCATTTATTCGCCGCGATTTAGTGATGGGTGAATGAAAAAAAATTAAAGCCGTTTACAGCTCCCTGTAACACCTGCAGCAGTTGAGGAGGAGGATGGAAGAGTACTGAGGGGACGGTATACCCCTCCTCCCTACTCCTCACCCCGTCATCCTGCCTGCTACTCCGCCACAAGGGACACGTGGCCTCACGTGGCCCACGCGACCCCCGTGAGGTCACGTGACCCTCCATAGGTTAAGTGACCCCCTTGAGGTCACGCGGCCCCCGCGAGGTTACGTGACCTCAGGGCGGTCACGTGATCTCAGGCCGGGGGGGGGGGGGGTCACGTGACCTCACAGTTACGCCGACGCCGCTCAAGCCAGAAACGGGCGCCTAAGAGCTGCGCTCCAATATACCTCGCTGTAGACGTTTGCAAGTACGGCCACTAGCGCCGCCATCTTGCTGCTGGTGTGGGCATATCGACTGATGGTCAAGCACTGCTGAGGCGTTTCCGCGGTTTCCAGACTGGTTGCCCAACAAGATGCATGGATGAATGCTATCGGATGTTCCCTTCATTTTGGGCGGTACCTTGCGCCATGCGCCACCTAACTGAGAAGTTAAGACCCAAAAGCATGATTTCTTCCCTTCGCCAATTTGCTTTGTTTCTGCAATTTCGTAACTCTCACCAGACGATGTGGCATATCAACAAGGCGTTTTCCATCCACCGTGGCCAGACTAGCTTTCGAAGCATGGCCGGTTGCAAACGTCTATATCACGCGCTACTTGTTCGGCCGAATGAATTATTTCTGACTGCCTGACAGAACTATCATGTTTTTTGCTCTTAGGCGCCCCTTTCCGGCTTGAGCAGCGCTGCCGTCGCCTTCGGTGTAGCCAAGGTCACCCCAAGGTCACGTGACCCCCCAGATCATGTGACAGCAAGGTCACGCGACCCCGCCCAAAGTCACGTGACTTCTCCCAAGGTCCCGTGACCCCCCCTCCCCGGGGCCACGTGACCCCCCGAAGTCACGTGACTCCCCTGAAGTAACGTGACCCCCGAGGTCACATGAACCCCCAAGGTCACGTGACCCCCCCCGCCGAGTCACGTGAGCCCCCGATGTCGTCATCGTCACTGATGACGTCACCGGCATCCACGTCGTCATCGTAACTGATGACGTCATCAGTGACGTCACTGATGACGTCACCGGCATCCGCATCATCATCGTCATCATCACTGATGACGTCACCGACATCTGCATCGTCATCGTCATCATCACTAATGACGTCATCAGTGATGTCACTGATGTCGTCACCGGCATCCGCATCGTCATCATCGCTGGTGACGTCATCCGTGACGTCACTAATGACGTCATCGGTATCCGCATCGTCATCGTCACTGATGACGTCATCAGTGGCGTCACTGATGACATCATCGGCATTGTCATCGTCACGTGACCCCCCAAGGTCACGTGACCCCTCCCCTCCGGTCAGTTCACCCCCCTCCCCCCCCCAGTACCCTTCCCTCCTCCTCCTCAAGAGCTGTGCTCTATTCGGCGTTACAGGGAGTTGTAAACGGCTTTCACTTTTTTAATTGATTCGTAATGTTTTCTTCTTTCGGCTCTCTGTACCTTACTAATTGTGACTCTGTTCAACGGTCTGACGCCGACACCTTGCACCAAACAATCTTTGTGTCTGATAAAGCAATTTGCTCGCAAGATCATACATTTTAGGAATTATTAAAAACATTTTTTTTTTTAAGTTTTTGCCGTTTCCAAAAGATTCGTCACCTCTCGGCGCACACTGCGTTCGCAACTATACTCTACGAGGATGCCGCCGTTTGTTCGCGCTTTCAGCGAGGCTCTTTTTGCGTACATTGCGGGACGACGGACCAGCCACCGATGGGCGAGCCAAATGCGGTGACGGTCGTCGCCTATGAGCGCGCAGGCGGGCTTTCGAAAGGGTGGCATCGGCAGTCATCGGCAGCCGTGTGAAACCCGTTTGAACAGCTTCACAGTGCGCTCCACGCCGTTCCTATCTCAGTCGTCGACCTGCCTTCACCGCACTGCGGCGTCCGAAAGCACAAGCTATAGCGCGGGAACGCTGGGACCACCATGCGGACGCCTTCCAGATGGAGTCACCGGGGCCGCAGAGCAGGCTAATGAGCAGGGTTGTATGCGGTACCAATAAAAGAAGCAACAAAATAGGTTCCTTGCAATGAAAAGAACGCGTTGCCGACCTACGTTACGTCAAAATAGATATAACGCGTAAACTTTGCCGTTAATAGGAAGCTTTCGTAGATGGTTTCCGCTGTACCGCAATGTTCTCCGCAAGCCGATACGAGATCCGGGATTCTGCATGCAAGGCTAGCGCCGCGCATGCGCAGTAGTGGCGTCTTCGTTGCGGAGAGCGGAGCGGAGGTGAGAAAACGGTCTACGAAAACTTCCTATTTATAAGAAGTAACGCACGTTAGTTGAACGTAACTTTTTAATTATGAATTAACGCGTCTTATTCTTTTCACCTTACGTATGCATATGCATATGCGTCCGCAAGAAAAATTAGGTCAATCCCGAAATTCAATATAGTGACCCTATCTTTTTACGGTTGCACCTAAATACTCCAAAAAAGAAATGCAAAAAACAAACGCTAAAGAGCAAACAAAATAACTTAGATGCTTTGGCGCTTAGAAGCAATAAAATAGTAGTGTATAATTTTGCTTAAGTTTTCGGAAGATATTTAACGTGTAAGGTAACTGTCACCCATTAGTCGGAATAAGTAACCTAAGTACGTTACGCGTTACCGTTTTGAATAAGTAACGAGTATGATACGACGTTACCGATTAAAGCAACGCATTACCGGTAACACCGTTACAAATAACGAGTTACCGCAAACAATGCTTACGAGCAACTTTCGAACTGCCGTCAAGTGCGCCCTCCAAGGAGTATCCCACTCCCATGTTTACTCAACACTTGTTGCTGTCCGCGACTCTTTGAGCGAAAAAGCACTGCGCCACGTTTTAATAAAAATAAAATAAGAAAACGAGGATTTATTTGCGTTTCGTTAATTGAGGATATTTTAGATACCATCGTTGATAAAGAAAGGTTTTGGGTGCGTTGTACGCGAGTTGCTAAAAACTTTACATAGCTCGGCGAGTTTTGTGCTGCGAGGAACAAGGCCAATACCCTCTTACACTTCGCTAAACGGCTTTATTTATAAAAAAAAATGATCAGAAAGTCGTTTTGTTATTTCACAAACTTGACCATTTGCCAAAGGTCTCAAGGCGACCACAGCTAGCGCTCAATTCATGACGTCACGTACAAGAATTTTGCCGACAATAGTAAGAAAACTGAAAAAGCTTAACGTTTTTTTTTGTTTTTTTCTTGCTACTTTGTCAGACAAATATCACAGTGGCGATGTTCAGGAAGTAACCTTGAAATGTGCCAATTACCCTTCTGCTATCTTTAGGATCGGGATGAAGGTTTCCAGTCAGCTCTGTTTAGTATAAAGTGGACTATATCAATTGAAGCCGGTGGAAGTACCGTTAGTTTTCTCGAAAGAAAATTTGTGTCTTTAAACCATATTTTTATTTTTTTTTATGCTTATTGGCTTTATAAGGGCACGTGAGCATACGAAAGAGTTGAAAGTGACATATTTTTAAGGGCGGTATACTAACTTTGATGGATAATTACCGCCCCATATAAATATCGCCTGTCTTGGGGCACCTTTTGGAGAAGCAACCTACTTTCAGTGATGAATAGATTTTTGTACAACCACCCCATGATATCCGAATCGCAACACGGTTCTGTACCTGAGAAGGGTACGCTGCTGTTCTTAGTTGACGTCGAAGATTATTGTTTTTGGGCGTGTCAAATGCCTTTGATCCCGTTAATCACTCTATTCCGTTGCTTAAATTATAAGTTTGAGTTTTGGGGACCCTTTCATTCACTATTGTCAGACATGTTATCTGGACTATCACCGTGTGTGCAAGTGCGCCGGGAAGTGAATAACCTTTGTTTTCTGCGAGCGGGGGTTCCACGGTGTTTTGCGCCATCGCCCCTTTTATTTATGCTTCGTTTCAGCTTAAGTTCGGGCGCAGCCGACGCTATTCGCTAATGGGACCAAAAGATGACGCGTGGAAAGCTCAAGTCACTGGGCCTTTTTTGTTTGTGATTCGTTCAGCAATGATAGAACACGTAAAAAAACACGACGAACATCTTGATGCTATCTTTTTAACGGTGTCTGGGTGGTACCATCAGCTCGTAGCGTCGGCCGTGTATGGACATAAGGTAAAACGAAGTATAACATTTATGTCGACAATCTTGTTTCTGTCATTTCTGGATGTATGCGCTATCGAAACGCTAACGACCCTTTGTTTTTTTTTTGGCATATTAATTTTGATAGCGCCCTTAATAATTTGGAACCTAATGTCAACGAGGTTAAGCATACGAGAGCTATGTTGACGCACTGCCGTAATCCTCTAAAAATCGGTTTCCTAGACACGCCCTTTTTCTTGCTCGGTGTAGAATATGTCCTGTATTCGTGATAGTATTCAATGGGTCGGTAGCACAATGTACGCAGGACTTATGTTTGAACAGATATACTGGAATAAGCACATGGCCCACAACTGTCGTGCCTTCCGGTACGTATCTTTTCTGTTATATAATATTAGCATTTTTTTTTTGTTTCCTTTGGCGTCCCAACAATTTTAGTTCATGCCTCGGCGTACAGTGTACTCAGGTACGGGGCGACTGTGTTTGCTCACGGTGCAGGGCTGCGGCATGCCGAGGTGAACAATATTCTCAAATGCATTTTGAAAAGCGTGGCATATAACTCAGTATTCTCTAACTGCACGAATATTTTTAGCGATATCGAAATGTCAAATTTTTATTGCTTATTCAGGAAAGCAGTCGTACTCCAGTATTTTTGAACCCAGAACTGTAGCTTCATATAAACCGTCTTGCTCTTTAATACAGGCCGCCCGTTTTAAACGTCCTCGCTGTTTCACGAAGTATGGGATGAGAACTGGAGCTTATTATGTTCCGGATATTTTCAATCAGGTCTCAGCGTCTGCCTTCCTTTAAGATTCGAGGACAAAACTAAAAGAATGGCTCTGCTGCTCTATTTTAGACACAGTGTTTCTCCTCGTTTGATTTTCGGTTTTCAATCAGCCTTGAATTCAATGTTTTTCTTCATGTTGAATTTGTTTCTGAATCAGCCTTGGACTCAGCGTTTCTATAAATCGCTATTTAACGTGTGGTATTTGATCTGTACTGTTTTTATTGATGGCTTGTTTTTTGGTGACTTCCCGGGTGGGACCTACAAGCCAATATAGGATTTGCCGTAGCCGTCAGCCCTCCTTAAACACGACGCTTGCAATTAATATTATTATCATTATATTTTTTATAATTATAATATACTTTTAATTTTATGTTTGTAATAATACTGATTATAGAAATTATTATTATAATTATAAACGGCAAATTCTCTTTGAGATATGGTGTCTCGTCCGGGGCCCTCAGAGGTCGTAACTGAAACCTCTATGTTTTTTTTTCTATTTTTGTCAATGTCGTGTCTAAGATTATCGCTAAGTTTCGCAATATGCAGATTATATTAAGATATTTTGTAAAATTCGCAATGCCAGTGATTGTAAGATGCTTCAGGAAGATGCCTGTTCATTCTATAATTGGTGCATGACTAAGAACCTCATCTTAAATAAGGCTAAAACTAAAGTAATGTCCTACACGAGAAGAACGCAGAACACATGTTTTCCCTACGGTATTCACTCAGAGGTTGTAAGTCCTATTAGCGAAGTCAGAGACCTTGCTGTGATATTTGTTTCTTCTCTCCGCTTTGAAGCACATATAGATCACATGAAAATATCCGCCTTGCCTACTCTGGGTGTTGCCGGTAGGATGTCTATAGAGTATTTTCGAACCCGAAAACGTTCTTTGTTCTCTATTTCGCGTTGCCTTGATCCCATCTGGAATACACCTCGGTAATGTGGAGCAGCATCTGACCCAGCACTTCCTTCAGGCTAGAGCGAGTGCCAAATACATTCCTGTTAATCTGCAGACGAAGGTACAGATCGCGACACTGTCAGAGCGAACACGACGTCGGCGCATTACGTTGCATGACTCCAAATAATACTTTCGTGGAAGTTTGTTGTTGGTGCCGTTCCTTAATTCCGCTGAATATGAAGGGGTCGCTGTCTTTTTAGGCACATATCTCTTCACTGATTGCAATGCCAATGTGCAACTTTACGTCATTATAAAAGTGTTTATGTCTTGTCCTATTTTTTATTGGGTTACGCATTTACCTCTTCATCTGTATTAAGTATAGAAAGTGTTTGGATGTGCTGGTACTAAAACCGAATGCTCGTTCTTAGGCACCAAATAAAGCCTATTCTTTATACTTGATGATTAATATTATTATTAATATTATTATTATTATTACCATTGTTATTATTATTGTTATTTTGATATTTTTTGGGTGACTGAATTTGTCAGATCTCACACTCTTGTATGAGGCTCGCTGAACCTGTCGTGATTGTGATGTTATATTCTTTATCAAGGTATATTCGTTCTTGTGGTAGTCTTCCTACTCTGCGTTCGGACCCTGTGTTCCGTTATTTCCTTGTTGTGTATATCGTATCTCTGTGCCACCATGCATTACATGTATCATATCTTTTACTCAATGTTTTGAGTTTTAGAGCACAGCTCTTAGGGGGCCGTTTCCAGCTTGAGCGTCGCCGGCGTCGCCGTCGGCGTCACCGTTGCCGTCGGCGAACCGCGCAGTGCATTATGGGTAAATTTACCCGCTAAATCTAGCGGCAAAATTGCCCCGCTAACTCTAGCGGAAAAATTTCCCCGCTAAAGTTGTCGGAAAAATTTCCCCGCTAAATCTAGCGGAAACATTTCCCCGCCAAATCTTGTGGAAAAAATTTCCCCGCTAAATCTAGCGGAAAACCTTTCCCTCTAAATCTAGCAGCAAACTTTCTCTGGGGGGTCACGTGACCCCCGAGGTCACGTGAGCCCCAAGGTCACGTGACCCCCACGTGACCTTGGGGAGCGGGTCATGTGACCCCACTAAGGTCACGTGATCTACCTTTTTGTAGTGTGTAAGCTTCGGTGTGCCAGTACCAAGACCTCATGGTCGTTCCTAGACACCTAATAAAAATTATTTTTGATTCTTGATTATTATTATTAAGATTAGTAAAGTACTTACTATATTTTTTTCTTTGGATTGTACAATCCGATTTTGTAAGTGGCGGTCTTGTTGGTTTTGTCTGTGATATTTGCTCTTACGTTTAAACATTTCTTATGAGGGAAATCGCTGCTGCGAAACATCAGGAAGTACGTATCTTTCGTTGTTTCCTCCAGGACCTGCAAACGACAAAACAGACCATGTCATTATTCCTCCCATTATTACAATAAGACGCATGGTAGCGCAAAAAAAGGCACTCACTCAGATTTAAGCATTCGTATAGTGTCGACAGTAAAAATCAGGCATTGCTCCACTTTATATTACCGCGAAGTAATGTTTATGCACGAAGTAAGGAGCGAATCGAACACCTGTACCTCTTACATTGGTTTCAACAGGATTACAACGTGAATGTGGACGGGTCATTGCTGTATTGACAAGCGCGTATTTGTGTGGCACTACAACATAAATATATGCTATAAGAAAAAATTCTGCACAGACGCAGCGAATCTTAAACATCCCCAGGACTCACAAAAAAGGTACGATTTTTCCGTAGTACTAAATGTATAACCCACAATTTAATTTGCGTTCGGCCATCCCATGTTTCTAGGCAATGACAGTTAATGAGTGTCTAGCGCTCCCTTGATTATGCTTACTCTTAGTCTAGACTTTTGTTGGTTGTTCATTCTTTTTGGATAAGAAAGTAATATGGTAGTTCAGAAAATGATCGGGCGATAATGGAAGCTTTTTTTTTATTTCGTGTACGTTATTTTGTGTCTATTATGGTTATCTGTGTCAATAATATGGGCGATCCTGTGTACAAGAAATGGTTATCGGTCTTGCATAAAACGGGGGGGGGGGGGGAAGGGGGGGGGAGTGCAGCTTCCTCCGGTGACTGCTAAGCTGGTATCACCTGCAGCAAAGAATCTTGTCACTGCGGCAACATGGAACAGCCTGCTGAACGAAGCACACTGCTCGCACGTGTCGCGCCTGGTCTGGTCCGCGCATCCGCGATGCGAAGAACCACCCGCTTTTTCTTTTTCCTGGGTCTTAATTTATCTTAATTGCTTCAGCCTATATTGACCTTATGCATGCGGCCGTCTTTGCTTTGGATGGACTGGTTTGGACCGGACTGGACTGGCTCTTGAGGCCGATGCGCGACTCCCTCCCGCCCCCCTCAGGGCCGGGGGTGGACGGTGCTCTTTGCATCCCTTGGGCGCCGCCGGCCAGTGTTTGCCCTGCCCTTTGGCTGCTGTTTCAGAAAGGGGGGGGCAAAACACGTGCCTTGCCGCCCCCTTTCTGAGAACTGGGGGTTAGGTGTTAACCCCCCCCCCCCCCCCCCCCCCCGGATGGCGCGCCAATGCAAAAAGTCGTCCCGCAGATTTCCAATTAGCCGCCGCTGTTGGCATGCACTCATCTTACGATGGCACCGGGACGTCACATAGTTTCCTTTCCTCGGTATGCACTACCTACGTGACAACGTGAAAGCCAGGGGCAGCGACGACACCGGTTGATCTAAACTGCCTGCTCCCGGGAGGAAAGATTGGCTCTTCGAAGACATCAGCATGCAAACCGTAGGCGGCGATCGACAGAAGGTGTGGCGGCTGCATCCGAAACCGCCGACGCCCGGAAGAACAGACTGGCTTCCTGAACACAGCAGTATTCGGACTGTTGCGAGATTGAAAATCCCATCCTTCTCTAAGTTGAAACCCTTCAGCAAGATGCTAAATCATGTTGGCGAAAATCAGCAGCGATTTCGGCGTAATTTATTTTTGTTCTTTTCGTAATGATTGTTTTTATTTTTACTTTAAATCGCTATACCTTTTTGGCGTTTTAAAAGAGCGTGCGAGCAGCTCCCGGCTTTCAAAGGTAGCCCATAGCGCCTGCAAAACGCCCCACGTAACTACATTAGTTACCGCGAATGCCGCCAGTATAGCAGTAGTGCGAGAAAACTACACCCTCCCGCGTTATATACAAGCCTGATTAACGCTATACGTGTAATACACTCCACAAAATTTAATGCGTGTACTCTCCCTCTAAGCACTTGGTAAAGCCAATCGCTGCATTCTAGGGAGGCGCTCGGCGAATGACGAGGAAGATATGTCTGGGCGCACAAAAACCGTCTACTTCATGACACTAAAGACTTAATCGCACGATGTATCTTTTCATCGCGCCACGGTTTAGAGAAAACCGAGATTTCGCGAAATCGCGCTTTTTCGCACCTAAAGTTTGACGAGCTAAACCTGTGACGTATTGAATCACGAGAATTTCGCCCAACCTCGTAATCTGCACCAGAAATATCAGGCGTTTCACATCAAAATGATATGAAGTAGGCACAGAGTGAAGAGGCAGTCGTCGTCGGATTCAGTTCACGGGGTGTCCTATATATCCTGCCAGACCCGGGAAAGACCGCGAACGTCAAAGAACAAGCCGATGATCTCGAAGCATTTTAAACATTTTTGAACACCTAAAAGAAAGTTATCCCCAGCCATCCTGTTTATATGCGGTGCTTGCACTCGTCGCGGCTGTTGATGAATCTGTACCACGCCACCAACCCGTATTGCTAAGTTCTAGCACATATCGCCCGTATACGCTGGAACGCACCGATCCTCTGCGTGTCGGTCGCCGTCATATTTGCTTGTCTCTTTTCGGCTTTGGCCCGGTCACGGAATGAGCCAAAGCTCAGACTCCTTCAAAATCTCGCTCTGCCTCGAATGTCAAACGTCAGAGCGAAGCCGCGCGGCCATTGGCACCGTCCGCGTTTCTTCTTCGGGTGATTGACAGGCCTTGGTGACGTTCAAGGAAAATATTGCTCCGAAGCGAGGTGCACACGCATCCTTTCTCAGAGGCGCGCAACTTTTCGGTCGCGTTAACACGGTTCATCTGTTTCCCGAAACCTAGTTTCGCGAGACATGATTTGCCAACAAGATGCATCGTATGAATAGACCTTAAAACGGAAGCTACAGTGCAGATTTTTTTTTTGTCAAGAAGTTTTGTAAGTTTTGACATTTGCCATTCTTTTTCCGCATATTGCATCGACTTTCTCCACCAAGGGCTTTGAAGGAAAGCAGATGCACCAAATTCACGAGTGATGTTTTCTGAAACCAAGCATTAGCTTTGCCACTTCATTTATTTCCACATCGCATAGGGGACATCATTGTATTGGGGTTTCGTAATACAATACAGTTTTTCAAACAAAGACAAAAAAATATTTTTTGAAAGGGCAGTTTTTTTTCGAAAGTATATTATAAATACAGGAATGTTGTAAGCGAGATGTAAATAAGAGGACATATTATAACTCCGGAGAAATTAGAAATATAACAAAAAGGTAGATAACGCTGATTTTAAAGTTCCTCTGACGATGTATTCTGGTGGACTATTTTAGTCATGAATCGATCTTAGAAAGAAGTAGCTTTTGTATAACGTATTGTATGCTGTTGTAAGTTAGCAAGCTGTCCAATTTTATGTTCCCTTTCGACGTTTGAAAAATATTGTCTTTTAAGTATGAATAATTGTATCAACGGAATGTTTGAACACGTTCGTTCTGCACAGCAACTCTTAAACCTTTTTTGAGCGGTCTCGACTGCCAGATATAAAGTGGGACGCAGTATGTAATTGTTTGTGTCCCTATCATAAGCAGTGTACATAGCTGCAATTAACAGACTGGAAAACCCGGGAAACCCAGCGGATAATTTTCTCTACAAAAGGCACCAAACCGCCTGTCAATCTCTAAACTAAGCGGGCCGACGTGATTCCTTTGCAGGACTCAGGACTGGTGCGGTCTGGCTGTACCAGGCGTTACCAATAAACTTCCAATTCGGGGACATACAGCAGACGACACCACTGGCATCATCCATTCACTTCTTTTCAGGAAAGATCACTAGATGGGTTGTTTCGTGTGCTCAGTGTACTGGAAACAAGCTTATTGAGAACTATATGCCCGATGGGGTGGTTGTGTTGGAACAATCATCAAAATTACAAACGCGCTTTTGTCAAGCGCTTACTTACGCCTTGAAAAGAAAGTAGTTTGTGGTTTGGATGAATGACGTGCACCAGGGAAAAAGGTCTCTTTTTATGTCGAAGATGGAGCGAAAAACCACTCTTCAATAATACTGCCACAAAATCTTGTCCAAAGTAAATGCCCCTTTGAGTCCCACCCTTACTATTTCCTGTGGAACTTGGCCGTCGAATCAGTTTAGCCGAGTGCTCTGAAGCTTCATATCGTGAACCTGCTCGTTATGAACACAGCTACTGGATGCAGTACTAGAGTAGCGTCTGTAACCGGTATGATATATCTTAATGATCTGGGGGAAGGTTATGGTTTTGGTGTATTTATATTTCTTCTTTTAACCCTATCTCTTCAATATGAAAGGTGCACATGATTCACACTTCATTACAAAAAAAGAAACTGCAAGTATTTTAAGATTTTAATTGATAAAACACGGCAGAACTATGGGAACTTTGTGGTTTCTGTGACGCAACCTAAACCATAAGTGGTGCGCGTATCAGGTCTTACGTTATTGTCCAGTTTCAGCCAGACGTAAAGAGTAATCTGGCAACCTCAATAAACCAGTTTCTTTAGAAGACAAACTCAATACATGGTGTCAGAAGTGACTCGTTCCGCGAAAAGAGCTAGCGATAAACTAAGAATGAAGCTGAACTATGGACGTGCTCAAGACTCCCGAGGGCCCGAACTCGGCAGGAAACGTACCGGAGAAACGGCAACGGTTCAGACAACGTGTGGAACTGTACCTAAGGGTGACAGAGACCATCAAGCGAAGCAACAAACAAAGGGCAGCCATCCTGCTTCATGTGGCGGGACCCGATGCCATCAAACTCTACAACACGTTTACCTTCGCACTTCAAGAAAAAGATGACTACCAGAGAGTACTGCAGAAGTTTGAAAAGAACTGCAAGCCCCGAAACGATAAAACATACGAGCGGTACGTTTTTCATTCACGAAAGCAAGAAAGCGATGAGCCGTTTGAACGGTTCGTGCGAGAGCTACAACTGAAAGTGAAATCGTGCAACTTCTCGACTTTGTCGGACTCCATGGTACGATATCAAATCGTACGTGGGGCAACGGACAAAAACTGCAATAGCGTTTGTTGCGTGAGGAAGATCTGACGTTGGAAAAGGCCATACAGCTCGGAAAGGCCTATAAAATTTTCCAGGCACAAAA